CTTTGTATCTCCCATCTTGCTACTTTACTGCACATGTGAATCGAAGATCTCATTAAGCAAATAGTATCAAAATTCAGATCAGTAAACATGAATACTTAGTTTTCTAAACTAAAGATCAAATCTTTCAAAGTTCAAACTAAATCTATTGCAGGAAGTAGAGGATAAAAAATAAAACTTTCTCACAGGGGAAGTGCTTACCAGTTGGAAACTGCCGGAAAAGCTGAGTTCTTGCGGCGAATTAGGGTTAGGGTTTGGAGCGTCTGCAGAAAAAAATGTTAGAACTAAAAAGAGTGTGATAAGGGTGTTTGAATTGAAAGGGGATAGGTTAATAACGAGGGATACTGAAATTTTCTTACCATTTTTGTCCTTGTACTATATCAAAATTACGGTTTGGTACAAGTTGGGAGTGGTAGATTTGAAATTTGGGAGGTCAATGGATAAATAAGTTTTTTATTGGAATTTTTACATAAATAATATATTTATTTGATTAATTACGCTTTTAAGTGTTACTTTTTTTAATACCATATATGATATAATTTTAGCTTTAATAATTATTTGATATAAATTTGTATTAAAATTGTATATTATGTGAAGTTCTGAAAATTTGTATTAAACTTATATCAAAATTGTATTAATATAAATAATCGGTGGTCTAGTAGTGGTGATTATGAAAAAGAAGAGGTGAAGCTCTGAAAAATATGTATTAGAGTTGAATTAAAATTGTATAGATATAACGATAGTTATAATACAATTCGATATTTGATATTATACATTACTATAAATTCGATAGTTATTATTCCAGAACAAATATAATACATTTCTAACAATGTAAGCTAATTTAAATAGTACCAGAATGTTTGAAATTCACATATAATACTTATAATATATTTGTTTTAAAAATGTTTTAGTTATGTATTAGGTGATTCCGGAAAAATTGTATTAAAGTTGTATCAAAACTGTATTAAATATAAATAATCGGTGGTTTGGTGGTGTTGATTTATCGATAAAGAAGAGGTGAGGTTCTAAAAAATCTGTATTAAAGTTGTATAAAAAATAGTGATAAGGACAATGTTATTTGTGGTAAGAAAAGTAAGGCTAATCTGTGTAAGAGTAAAAGATATGTTATAATTCGTAAATAAAGTTATATAATATATTATTTATGTAAATTGACTTTTTTTTAATGATTGTGGTGTCTAGATCAAATTTCATGATCTTAATTAATTTTATGGAATATTTATTACCTTTCATAAGTAACAAGTCTCAGTAACTTTGTCCAATTATATTGAGATAAATGGGAAAAATCACCTAATTTTTTTGTTCTTACTAAAATTTTAATTTGAAATTTCATAATATTCTTAACTATTTCCTTAACTACTAATTCAACTACCGCGCCATAAAAAAAACTTTTAAAAAAAATTGCAAATTGTCCTTTTTTTTTTTTTTTTTATGTTCTTCAATTTCATGACAACACTATAGTTTCACAATTGTAGCAAAAAAACCTTGACTACAAGAAGCATCATACACAACACAATTCATAATAAACTTTTCCTCCTTTCTTTAATTTACAGGAATAATAGGTCAAATTTCAATTATTGAAAAAGTTAATAAATGAATGTAATATGATGGTGGTAGGATGTGATAGATAATTCAATAAATGACGTAAAAACGGAAAAAAAAATCCTCAAAATTTATCCATGAAGATAAAATATTCACCTTTACTTTTGAAACTTAGATTTAAATTACAAAGGAATAGACTAAATTAATCGTTCTTAACAATGTTTTAATGAATGTGATATACATTTCGCCCGAAAAAATTAATGGTCAGTAAATAATTTGTTTTGATCATATCTTATTTACAACAAAAGGAAGAAGAATAACCCAATCACTTGAGCAAGACACTTACCTTCTAGTGTGGCTAAGTACATACAATTATTTATTGCCAAATTTTTATTAACATTTTTCCATCCCATTCCAACATGATGATTAGTAGCTCTATTCTTATTTACCTTGCAATTTGACTTGAATTCTCAATCTATCGATCTATAATCAAATTACTCAATTATTGAACAAGCCTCACTTGTCTATCAGGTGGACCTTAACTACACAAAGTTGAGAAAGTAATTTAACTATACAAAAAAAAAAAAAGGAAAATAATAAGAAGTGGTTCATAAGAATTTTTTGTTGTAAGATACACATTAATAAAAGAAAAAAGTGAAATAACATTAAAAAAAAATAGAAGTAATGATTCTACTACTCCATCTTAATCGATAAAATGGTGATTCTTCTACACAAAAAAGGCAACGATCCACCACTATTAGGGCCCGTTTGGCCATAGATTTCCCAAATAATATTTGGGGAAAAATTTGGCAAATAATGTTTGTCCATACAATTTGCCATTATTTGGCAAATATTTTTGGCAAATATCCCAAATTCCCAAATACTAGTTTTTTCTAGTATTTGGGCCAAATCTCATTATTTGGGATCTTTTGAAAATTGAAATTTTACACCAAACTTTTATCTTTTACAAAAACACCCTCTATAGTAGTTGTTTGCGTTGTATTACATTTTTTTTTACGTGAACACCAAAGTAGTGATGAAATATTCAGTGAATCTGAAAGTGATGATATGGTTGTTGATGAAAATGATGAACAATCGGCTCAAGGTAACAAAGTCACGTGCTTTGTCTACTTCACGATGTATGAAATGATGGTTGTTGCACTCACTCCAAACTACCACATTGCTCTAGTGGCATGGAAACTACTTGTTATTTGTTGCAACGAAGATCCAATTGACTTGTAATACAAACTTATGGTTAGTTTTGATAGTTTTTAAAACTTATGGGTATAAATCATATTTTTCTAAAAAGTGAAATATATTTCACAAATACTATGGCCAAACACATGGTGAAATTTCACCCAAATTTTCACCCAAATAATATTTGTCAAGAATATTTGGAAATCTATGGCCAAACGCTAGCTAAGAATCAGAAACAACAAAATCCAGAAATATAAGGACAAAAAAAAAAAGAACTAAATAAAACCTTGTAGAAATTATACCTAACACACTGACCTTCTCTATTGAAATTTCTCACAATAGAAATTGGAACTCAAAAATTACAGCCAAAAGGAGGTCATACTTAACTACTTGTTCAGGAAACTTTAGGGGATGAAATTGGTGGTCTCTTCTTTGTCTTTGATGCACTTATTGTTTTTGAAGAGAGAAGAGAATAACAAGTTAACTGATGATTTAAAATTGAATGTGAGGAGATGTGAGAAATAATGAATGTGTTGGTGCTTTAGATTCAAGACACATTTTATTATAATATGTTGAAAAGTAAAAAATGCCCTCAAATTGAATTTTAAAGACCAAAAACTAACATATTGATATCACTTCATTACTCACACTTCTATAATAGTAGAACACTTGCACTAAACAATTGGGTGACAATAGTTTTGTATATTATGTTAATGTTTTCCACAAAAATAGGAGGAAAAAATTACGTAAACGGTGGGGGAAATGGACTACTTTGATTAAAGTAATTTGTACGATCTATAATATTATTTTAAATTGTGATGATACCTATTATCATGCAAAATGTGAACATAAATTGTAATAGATCGCGTGGACATTAATTGCCTCCAAATCAGGTGATATGAATAAATAATACCTAATTAAACAATAAATACAATCATTTTGACAACACATTGTCTATAAAATTAAAAGATGAGTAGATAAAAAAATAGCATCACAGTTTGATATTATAAATCAGCTAGTAGTACTCACTTGCATTTGCATATATAAGAGTGCAATATGAGTACAAAAAACACGTGTACTCGTAAGTTTACATTTTCTATTGTTTTTCTCAAAAAGTCGAATAACTATCCAGATCTTATTGTGAAGGAAATAAAATCCCCTATAAAATGGTGATTTTGATCCAATCTCATTCATTTTTTTGAAAAACGTGGACTTGTATCATAACACAAATATTCATTTATTGAAAATATAGTATAACATGTGATTTCTACCAATCATAATGAAAAAACTCTTATGCCGCAGAAATATGATATATGCATATATCAATTCTAGCAATTTTCAAATAGATCAAGATTCCTGAATACAACGGCAAAACCAAAATTTTCATATGGGGGGTTGGATCAAATCAAATAAAAAACGGGCTAGATAAAGTTCAACTATATCTCAAAGAACACTTTTATTATGTCCATAGTATTTAGCTTATTAAAATTATTTTAATAGAGAGATCGCGTTCCAATTGTCTAGAAGAAAAAATCAAATGCATACGGCTAAAAATGCCATACAAAGTGATTCGGTTCGAAGTTTGGTGTAAGGGTCCCAAAACTACGATGCACCGAAGAATCAAAGTTTTATTAAATAAATTTAAAAATATTTAAATTATATTATTTAATAATACTTTATCATTTACACTTCAAAACAGTAAAGGGCACCCAACCTAAACAAAACTATTTTGATGTTATTACTTTTTATTGTTAGATTGTTAGTTGTTACTTTGAAGTGAACAACAATTGTTACTTTATTATATTCCCTCTTTATTTTTATTCACACCGAAAAAACCGATTTAAAAACACCGAACTAAACCGCTGAAAAACCGAACTAAATCGAACCGAAGTAGAAAAAACCAAACTAAATCGATCTAGTTTGATTTGAAATATGATGCACACTTTTCTAACACCGAATACCGAATCGAAATTTGATTAAACCGAACGCCACTCCTAGACTATGAAATATTTTTCATAGAAAAACTTACATAAAGGCCAAAAGAATAGGAAACGCGCCAGGTAGGGGTCGAACCTACGACTTTCTGCTTAGGAAACAGACGCTCTATCCACTGAGCTACAGGCGCTTTACTTCTAACAACACACAGATAATAAACGTAAAGTAATTACACAACAGACAGTCCAGGCCCACTGCCGCACCAGCAGCTCAGCACGACAACTTTCCGTCTCCATTTTTGACTGATATCTGCAAATCTATCAACACAAGAGAAAGAGAAGATAAAACCAGCAGGAATTTCTCTATTCTTTCGATTTTCAGCGCTTATTCACCAACCCAAAGATCAATAACTGCATAAAGGGCAACAAAATCACATCCCGCAACTACGCTTTTTTCACAGGTTTCAATTCCCCCTCTTCCGTCTTGCTTTTGAAGAAATTTACTAGACTGAGTAATTTATTAATAGGAATAAAAAAGACAATTTCTTTTGCTTTTTCGTATACCCATTTTGTCGGTTATTTATAGGGTGTCTAAAATAAAATTGATCTGAATACAGCAGAATTGTTTCATACTTCATATAGTCGACCTGAACTGATTTAATTGAGACAATTATTATTTGGTGGATAGATATTCTGTCAATAGCTGAAGGGTAAAAAGTTTTGATTTTGCACTTACTTTTGGCTTCTACTGCAGGTGGGGATGTGTTCTCTTTCTGTATTGGAGGTCCAGAGGTTGAAATCTGAGCTTTGACGAAAACCCATTTGCTTATTTTCCGGATTATTTGCTTGTAAATGCAACTTTGTAGATCAATTGCCTCTTGGATATCCCGCATATTGGCTTGCATGGGGTGAGTAACTCGATTCTTCCTTTATTTGTGTTTCTTATAGTATTGGTCTGAGATAAGCTTAAATGGAGCAAACTTCAGCCCCATCTTGAGTTTGGTATTGAGGCGTAATTGCTGTTGTTGTATTTTTGTTCCTGAGGGGTGGATGCAGTATAATACATGTGGTTGTACTCATACCTACTGCCCTCGATTTGAACCATATATGTGTGTTTGTGTGGAAGTGTATGTTTATACTATATATTATGCTAAGATTGTAACCATGGTGATAAGGTAGTGGTGGGTGTAATTTGTTCTCATTGAACTAAATTTCTAGATCCGCCTCCAGGCGCAAGTGATTTGTATTTTTGGGAAAGAAAAAGCGGAAGTTTTGTTATTATTGAAATTAAAAGAATATGAGACTAGGAGCTCAGAGTTACAATTAAGATAATACTAACTCTTAACTCTTCAGAATGCTTTTCTTAGTTTACTGGGAAAGCTATGTAATTTCAGCAGTTTGTTTGGGTGATTTGGAATCTTAGTACTTGCTTACAGGCTAAGCAAAGTAATAATGGTGCATAAAGCAGGAATGAGCTGGTTCCTTTATCTGTTTCCTTTATTTTCATGCTTTGCATGATATGTTAAGGTGTTTCTTGCTTTGAATGCCACATTCCTCATGTACCTTTCTTGTTTAGCTACTTATGAAAAAAATTCTCTTGCTCAGCTACAGTGTGATTTTTTTTTCATCTAGCCATGTGTATTAGGGGTTGTTTATGGATTGAAATGAATGCGTATTTTGAAAGGAAGTCTTTTTGTTCAGTTTTGGTGTATTTTGGAAAATATCTTCGAGTCCTTATTGAGGTGATGATGGAAAAGTTGAAGGAAAAATGCAGATCCCTTTGTAATGTAAGAGGTTACTTTTGTCCTGTCTTATAATTTGGTGAAGAATAGATTGAGGATCTATTTTCTAGATCATTATAAATTTGAGGATACCAATCTCTTTTTAGCTTTAAGATGCTCAAGCTACTCTTAAGACTTTTTCTGGGGCTAAGATAGATTAGGTTGCCAATGGCCCTATAGCAATTTTTATATAAACAGGTCGCTCTGACCAGTCAAAATACTGTTAATGGGATTATGCTGCTAATCCCTTAACAGCATCTCAAGTTCAATCTGTTTAAGTAACAGATCCATTAATTCTGGTTTCTTGATAAGAACATATCTGATGCAGTCCATAACTGGATTAAACTTATTAATTCACTCGAAGCCATTGATTTGGTGGCTACATCTTTTTTTCCTTTTCCTGTGAAGATAACTCATTGGGGATGATCATCTCAAAGTCATTTGGATATTGAGATTCATAATGATGGGGATTGGAGAAAGGAGGGCGTTCTTCTAATGACTCTCTCAAAATTTTACCTTTTAATTAAACAGAAGAAGTTGTAGTGAACACTGGTTTAAAATCCATTTAGGTAATAGTTGGAACCACAATGATACATGTTTTAGGGGATGAACTAATCCACTTACTTATTTATAAGTACTTAAGAACATATTATCCAAACCATCATTACAATCTAGGTAATGTTTCCGTGAAAGCTACTAAAGATTATTTAAAACATGAACTAGTTAACATCAAAAGTGGGTTAGAATACTTTAAGAGATGATATAACCTATAAAAACAACTTTTAACTCCTCTTTGTAGATGTCCTTTATTAAGGATGAATTGTGAACCTTTATAAGCTGATAATTAGTGAAGGAATTAGAACATTTTAAGACCTCTAAAGAAGTAAAAGTTTTGCAAAGTGAAAATATGGAAATTGGGTGAAAATAGAAAATTGTGTTAACATGCTCTATCTGCCCACTTTGTTCCTATCAACTTTCTTGTCGCGTTGTACTTAACATCAAAAGTTCTTTTATGATATCATTTATGCTAAATGACTTACTGAATGCATAGCTATCTTCAAAGCTACCAAGTTAAAAAAAAAATTTGCATAACAATCAAATTTTTTCTTAAAAAAATGACTCGGTGAATGCTGTAGACCTTAATTAGCTAGCTGAATAACTGGACAGAGGTCCAGGCTTTTGATTGAGCTTAAAGTCAAATTGTCCATAAATATCTATTCAATTTAGTCCTGAGACCCGTCTTGATCTTTTTTTTTTTTTTTGATTTGCACCGGGTATCCGAGTCTCTTTGAGTCCCGACTAATCCCGGACCCGTCTTGATCTTTTTACGCATCAATATAGTCTCACATTTTTTTGGGGTAGCCACTTTTGGGGGTCTCAGGTCTTCCTTTCAACAATTTTGCACTCCCCTACAACACAATGTTTGCAGTTCCGCTAAATCCATGTTTCATTCTATTATAACTATATAAGAATAATTTTGTTTTCACATCAGATACAGCGCTAGACCAGCAAAAGAGACTATCATAATTTCTATAGGCCTAAAGGAGATCAAGTTTTGTACTTTATGGTATTCTGACTTATTTAATTCAATCGATTTAATTTCTGACTTGGTGTGCATCAAGCTTAAAGATAGTAAAGGGTGTTGTGCTGAATGCTAATTTGCTTTGAAATCAATACCTAGAATTAATAACTTCTTAATGAAAATGTGGGGATTTTATAATGAGTACCAATAAAGAGTACCAATAAAGAGTACCAAGAAAGTACAAAAGAAGAGTACAACAGAACAAGTGTTAGTACAACAGAACAAGTGTTTTCCTTCTAGATGTTGAAAGAATACAATAGATTTAACAGTGTAACTTTATCAGATACAACATTTTCCCTACACTGCTACACCACGAAGATAAATTCTTCAAACATCTAGATTTTACATAAGAGATGCTCCTTTTTACCCGAAAAGCATCTATTCTTTCTCTCTAGCCAGATATTCCCAGAAAATGCAACTGGTACTGCATTCCAGTTGAGACTACTTCCCATATTTGATGTCTGATTGTGGCGACTGTTTAAGGCCTGTTTGGCATGATTAGTGGAATCCCAAAATTCCAGGAAACACATATCATAAACTGTCTGGAGAAATTACAATGGAGAAGTAGGTGATCAACTGATTCACAAGTTTCTTCATGTAGTAAGCATCAACTGCTAATAATAAAACCCAAGTAAAGCAAGCATCATGGATTGTCATGAGTAACCCCAGCACCAAGGATTGCAATCTAAGTAAAGCAGGCAATTCTAGTTTCCAGATTATCTTCCATGGCCTGTTTTCAGGATTTCCTACCATTTTCAGCATTGAACTTTATAACATACCTTGACCCAAAATTCTGTACCTCTCCATAGCTAAGAATCAGCCAGCTGCTCATCAATCTCTCATCAATCTTGACAGATTCTAGCTTTTGAATTATTTAATTAATATATTTCAGAAGCTATTAACTACTAACTAAGAAAATGGTTAGTTATCAGTTTTGCTTGGCTCCTTTGACTTTTGCGCCTGGATTTTAAAGTTCTCAATGTTTGTGATTATTTGTGGAAGCATGAATTCCAGGATTTTAATGTGTGAATGTCATTACTGATTGCTGACTTTGATTTGTGGTTCCTAATGGTTTCTTAATGGTCATTTGTTGCTTATATTTCTAAATTCTCTAATTTGGGTACGCCTAATAAGAAAAAAGCCTTATTAGATTGTCCATGGATCTATAGCTGAATCAAATACCAACTATTTTCTAACTATAAGTTACTTTATGGACTCACCGTGGCTGTTCAAGTGCTCTTTCAAAGTTGCATAACATTAAATGGGCCATGTCCCATGCTTTACCTCTGTTTATGACCTTTCTCTGACCACATGGTAGTTTTGAAATGAATTCCACTTAGAATGTTGAATTTTGTTGGGGCTATCTTATTGTTGCCTTTTGCTCCACTAATCAATTTCAATGGTTATAAACCTGGTTGCAACAGAGCAGAAGTTGTCTTGGATGCTGTATGAATTCTCCTCATGTTGTTTCAGTGGATAAGCCATCTAAAGGACTGAAAGTTCCGAGCAAACGATTGAGGAAAACTAGTTTAAGAGACGACTTTTGGAGCAGTAGTGCATGCGAGATGGAGAATAGCACTTTTCCCTCCCAGAGAAGCATCTCATCAATTAGCACATCTAATCCGGCCCTTGATCCTCACAGTAATTCTGGCACCACGAGCAGCACTTCGGAATTTGTAAATCATGGCAAGTGCATACTTTTGTCTCCTTTTATTTTGATGTGAATCATCCTAATTGTTTACTAGTAGCAAGTAAACCTGCATGGGAATCAGCAACGTTTTAGTATTTGTACACAAATACAGAGACAGGATTCATGATGACGAATGGGTAAGGTAGATAAACCTTACTTTCCTGGGAACACTACCAAAAATGGTTAAATAATTATCTGATAGTTTCTCAACTTCAATTACTTGCTTTCTAGGGTCACCCTTGAACTTTGGCCCGTCTAGAGGCCCCAAACTGCCTCATTTTTTTGGTCATGCCACTGCCTCATTTGGATGGCCAAAAATGGGCCCTTGTATTAGGATTTTATTGCAAACGTTCCCATTTCATCGAATTTTTACGAAGGGTCGACCCAAAATTTCATAAACACTTGGGATTTCTGTTATTTTCAAAGGGGGTGGGTATCTTGATTAACTTCCATTTTTCTATAAATGGCTTATGGCTTTACTTATCCAGGGGAAAGAATGGCTTACGGGCTTTGCAGAAATCCCATGCACAATTTGAGGCATAGACTGGAGAGACCATATACAAACTTGAAAGCATGATCTTGTGGTGTTCTTTTCATTTTAGCTCAGTTTAAAACTCCTTTTTGTATTTTCTTTATCGTATCATTGAAATAAACATTACCTGGAACAGGTCTACTTCTTTGGAATCAAACGAGGCAACAATGGTGTGGAAATAAAACACCGCAGAAGCGTGCCTCAGTTCGAGAACCCAAATTAAGGTTAGATTCTCACATCTTTGGAAGTGTAAGCATGAATGGTTCTTTGAGTAAAGGGAAAAATTAACTGATGTAAGAAAGACAAAGGAAAAGGCATGCAGGCCATAGTTTTGATACTGTGTCTCGACTTGGCTGATTTTTGCTGGCAACTGTTTTTTAGGAGTTGTCTTATTCCTTCGACACAATCCTGAAACAATTTGGTTTTTGAATTAGTAATATCGTGTTACTGCTTTCAACTATCGCGCACTATACTGGATTACATACATTTTTGACAAGTTTATTCTACCACCATAAATTGCAGTGCAGATACAAGTTATGAAACGTTGCTAGGGACCAATAAGCTTTTCCCTCAGCCAATCCCTCTACCGGTAAGTTATCGAATTAGCTAAGATAGTTTTTCTTTACATATTACATGTAGCTACTTGCTGACTGTTGTGCAATTTATATATCAGGAAATGGTAGACTTTCTTGTTGATGTGTGGGAGCAGGAGGGGCTTTATGATTAAGCAGCCACATAACTCATCATTCTCAGCAACTGCAAATTGTGTTCTGCAAGTTTTTATCACATTAATTTGATATTTTATAAGGACTTCTAAAATATTAAAATAAAAAATGATATCCAAAAGTTAAATGAAAATATTTTTATTTTTATTAGTTTATATATTAAATTTTTAAAAAGAAAATCAAATAAATGCATGCATAAAAGCTTTTCTAATTTCTAATTTCTATTCGAACCTAAAGATTGGGAATTGTTCATACATTGGGAATGAGTCTCAAAGCTGTGAGTCAACATTGCTCGAACCTAAAGCTTGTTGTATTTAAAAAGTGTCTACTCATTGGGGATCAAGGAATTGCGAATCTCTTTCGTTCAGCTGGTCATGTTTTAACAAAGTTAAATCTCAAAGATATTAAACATCATCAACACCTCTCTAGATATTATTTCACATTATGGATCTGCACTGACAAATCTAGCTCTTGGTGGTCTTGAAGAAGTAAAAGAGAAAGGTTTCTGGGTCCAGGGATCTGGTCAGCATCTGCAGAACCTTAAATCTGAAGCTGTTTTGCATCTGAAAAAGTAATGTCCTTTCAGATAATGGATTGATTGCTTGTGTCAAAGCTTCAGGCTCACTTCAGAACATTCAGATAGAGGAATGCCACCGGATTATCCAGGCTGGGTTTTTTTGGTATACTTTTGAACCATTGTAAGAAATTGAAGTTTTTTTCCTTGGTGAACTGCTTTGGTGTGGAAGACTTAAACGTTGCATTCCCTTTGGTGGCTTCTTGTTGCAACTCAATGTTTCTTTGACCATTTGCAATTGTCCTGGAGTAGGCAATGCTACCATCGATAGTTGGTAGACTATGTCACAAACTGACTCGTATAGAGTTGAGTGGGATTCTTGATATAACTGACGATGGACTATATTACCGATGAATCTGTTTTAGCCATAGTTGGGCTGAACGGGGGATCTCTGAAGTTTCTGATTGTAGATGGTTGCAAACATGTTACTGATGCAATCTTAGTAAAGATTTCAAAATCTTGCTGCTTGCTTAATGAACTCGATGTTTCCAAGTGCGGAATCACCGATTATGGGATCACAACTTTGGTCTATTCTACACAGCTTCATTTGTGGATCCTCTCATTGTCCAATTTCCCTTTGTTGTCGGACAAATCAGTTTCAACCATAGTTGAGAGCTGCACTGGGAATCTCTGAAGTCTCTGATTGTAGATGGTTGCAGGCATGTTACTAATGCAACCTTAGTAAAAATTTCAAACTATTTATGGTTGCTTAATGAACCCGATGTTTCCAATTGTGGAATCACTGATCATCCAGTTGCTCTTTGGTGTCAGACAACAACTTACCCTTCTTGCTAAATTTGGTGTTGGGTTTGAAAGTGAATAGGGCGTAATGCGGAAGCTTACAATTGCATATCATATGGTTGATTAATCAGATGACAAAAACTTATACTAAAAATCAAAATATTACTACATGATTTGGTCAAATGACCTACATATTTAAAAACTAATTAAAAGACATTAAAAATGTAGAGAGTAAAATCTCCCATAAACAAAACTCTTTATTGACTACATTGTGGATGCTATTGTGTTTTTTGATATGAGAAGAAGGGACTTCAATTTATAGGATTCCAAACATTTCCCCCAAGGAAGGAATAACCCAAATATAGAAGAAAATATATTTTCCTTTTAGGAAAAGTAAAAACATTTATGATAATGTTGTCTTTTCTTATAGAAAAAAATAAACTTCAAATAAGGTAAGAAAGTCAGAGCAAAACCCTAACATTTGCTTCAAGACCTTGAGAGCTTGAACATACAACATTGTGCTGGAATCAGCTCTACTATTGTTGATGCACTTGTAGAGAAACACCCTGGCTGTGATATCCTTTTTGGTTACATGTTGTTTTTGGGTCCAGCAACTTGAGTTTTCTTCTGTTCAATATTTTTCCGACGAATGTGGCTTGGTTCTTTATACAATTATGGAATAACTGATTCCTATTCTTGAATGACTATTAATGTGTCATTATTCCTAATCCAATCCCTTCAAGACAGTTTAGGCTCATTCAATAGCATTGAGTATCACATATTGACAATTGAATGATATTCTTCATTATCATAACCCCTATTTTATTACCTAACAATCACTGTAGTATTATTCTTTTGAGAGAGGAGATTAAGAGAAATCCCCCCTTTTATATTCTTTTATATCCTAGTATGTTGGGTTTTCTTTGGGTGTATCTTCATTAGTTTCTGGTTCCTAGTTTTATAGTAGAAGAACTTGTTGAATCCTAGGAATACACCTATATTGGGTGAAATATCCTAAATGACAGTTTTTGACACGCCTCAAGCTATGATTATTTCCTACAGAATTTGTGGTGAAGAATTTTCAATGAGAATGTCCAACACTTTATTGGTAGCTTCTCGAATGAAGGTGTTATCAGGATTTTTATCATACTTCTTTGAGAATACACATGCTGAGTTTTTTGGATGGGAGAGACTTATGTATGATTCTAGCTCCTTTTGTTTATAGTTTTTAGCTTCTAGCATTGCAACAAAAATGCAACAACCTTTACTATATACAATAAAAAAAAGAAAAAGAAAGCAACAAAAAATGAAATCTAAGTGAAAATTGTAAATGAAATAATAGATATCTGAACGATAGACCTTTAATTAGAAAGATACATATATACAAGCACCAAAACGAAATATAAGTCTACTATCTGAAGGTATTGTAATATATGGCAAGAGATGAAAATAAGATAAAGTTGAGGATGATGATGATTTAACTTGATATATAATAATATCAAATTAAAATACTTAATAATGTATCGATGACAATTCAATAAACCTTTTGATTTTAAGTGAAAATTTAACGCTTCTTGTAGTTCGTTTCTATTTAAGAAATTGTAAATTTTACAACGTTTTGATTTAGTGTAGGAATAAAATGCTAATTTAACTTTGCATTTTGGAGCTCCCCATTTTTAATATAAAATGATATGATATGTGAATGCTGAAATAATGTATAAGTGAAACTTTTTGGTGTTTGTTGAGTTCAATAATTGAATTGAATCATGTTAATTGTATTAATTTTATTTTGTCCATGTTAAGTTCGGACCCAAATTAATAATAACAAATAAATTTATAGTTATTTTTTTAAAAAAAAATATGTTTTCTTTTTATAACATCAATTTGACATTTTGTAAGGACTTAAATACAAAATGATATCCGAAAGTTGGTAACTGCCGAATTGGTCCTCCTTCTCCCCCCTAGGGTTTTCATATAATTCTCCAAATCTTTCCGCCGCCGCGGTTGTGGTAACATAAGGCTAAGATAAGGAGGTAGAAATCTATTTTTAGCTAATGCTTCTTCTCTCTTCACGATAATGTCTTCAGGTATGTTACGTTTCTATAACTTCAATTTGAATTAAGAAAATTCATGTAAAGACTAAAAAAATTGATATCCTTCCTTATATATATCTAGTAGCAATAATAAGAAAAAAACCATTATTTTCCAAAGTTGTGATTTTGATCGATCTATCTCATAACTGATAATAAATCACGCTTTATTATATAAAAAATGATTTTTCTTTTAATGAGCATGAATGATTTCTAAATTTGTCAAGATATGAACAAATAGTTTATCTATAGGAATATGCGTTTAGAAATCACTTATGTGAGGGTAAAGTGTAAGCTGCTTCAAGGATAATGATATAAAGACCAATTCTTTATGCACTCATGATTTTAGGAGGTGTTCACGACTGAAACAAACTCAACCTTGAGAACTGTAGACGTTTAAGGGTTAGTTGTGTGACCTGTATTATCTAGGTATACAACAAAGTTTGACGGTTCAAATATATCGCATCTACCAATAGATCGAGTGCATCTGATATGAGTTCACTACTGAAAGTTCAAAGGGAAACCTACGTATCCAAATGCAATTAATCTTTGCTTGTAATCACACACCTGTCCATATTCCTATTTCATATAGTCATTCCCCATTAAATTGCTCAGTTCTAAAAAGTGTGAATGAAAAATGAAGTGATTTTTTTGAAAGGTTGTGACTTTTTTGATAAGGCACAATAAACACTTGTTCATACTATCCTTTTATTCATAACAGAGGGGTTTTCTCTCATTTTTCAACTACAATTTTTCTGATTTTCTACTTTTTTTATTCTTCATAAAAACTCAAGTGTGATTTACATTTGTTGAGTGAGTAGTTTGAAGTCCAACAAAATTTGAGGTATCACTATTCTGGTGAACTAAATCGTTATATCCTATGGGATATATTCCATAACCTAGAATGCTTGAGGGAAATAATTTTCTTTAGAATACACTGTGAATTTAGTAGGCTTGATTTTTCAATATTTTTCGTTCTTTCTATCTTTTATTATTTCATTAATAGTGTTTAATGTTCATATTATATTGAATACAGATTTGAGCCAAATAACAGGGAGAACAAGAAAGAGAGAAAATCGAAATGAAAATGAGGAAGAAGTGATAGAAGGTATTTTCAATGTCTTTCTTTCAAAGATTTTTTTTTTATATTCATAATTCATAGGTAGTATGTATAAAGTATAAAGCTGCCAGTAGAATGAAAGGAACGATGTATTTTATTGATTGTAACTAAGTATATATAAATTCTGTACAACTTCTACAACAAAGAGATAAACTAAGAAAAATGTAAGACTTATCGATAACCTATATACAAGGAGGAAGTTACAACAGAGTCCTAAAGAGAAGACAGTACTAAATCTGATCCGTTATTACGCCCCCGCAAGTTGATGGTGTCAACAACACCCAACTTGGAAAATTGTTGAACAAAATAAGCTTTGGGAAGAGGTTTTGTGAGTATGTCAGCCACTTGATCAGCTGAGTGAAGGTGGTGAACTTCAATATCCTTGTTCTGAACTTGTTCACGAACAAAGTGAAAATCAATGGCGACATGCTTTATCCTACTATGAAAGATCGGATTGGAACAAATGTAAGTGGTGCTGATGTTGTCACAGAAAACCTGTGGAACTCCCTTAAGTGAAAGCCGAAGTTCATAAAGAAGATTTGTGATCCAGTTGGTTTCTGCAACAGTAGCAGCCACAACTCTATACTCAGTTTCTGTAGAGGACCGAGATACGGAGCATTGTTTCTTGGA